AAACCATTCGATAGTTGAAATCATTCATTCACTAACCATTCGATAGTCTAATTCATTCGATAGTTCCCATCGCTAAAAATAATATAAATTAAAAACAAGTAAACGAATAATCTTTTCCTAAAATTATTAAAAGCAAAAATAGTTATTTTAATTCCCCAGGCTAAACGGAATAAATTAAAACCAAGCTATTCCTATTTTGATTTTATTCAAAAGTGAAAGAATTAGTAATAAAGAAACTCGTTTCGAAAGATGATGCTTTAGCTTTTTTATAGGATTTCTTTACCTTTGAAACATTCTTTTGACGGTTATAATTTTTCAGGCGGCCTTTTAGACTACTGAAATTATTTTCAGCCGGAAATTTTACTTTAAACTAGGTCAGTACTGAAAAGCGGAGCTGTTTTTTTAGCGAATATTTTCAACTTAGTTTTTATTAGTTTTACATTTATCAAGTTTATAACGACCTAATTGAAGTTTGGTGTGCTTTATATCGCATTTCTTCGTCCTTTTTATGACGTGCTGACATTTAGAATAAATTATTTAAAGTTTTTTTTTTAATTTCCTTGACAGAAGATTAAATATCTTTGTTTTTTTTCTATAAATGGATATCCAACAGGCCGTTTTAAATTGAGTTCACATTAAGCGTATCTACAGGGTGTTTCTCAAAAGTGGCTCACCCCTATAACTTTTTTATTTTTTCAAATAAAAAAAAGGGATTTGGTGTATTAAGATATGACATAAAAAAGGATTGATTGACGTATTCAATTGTTTTTGGGACACTTCCTGTTTCACCGGAAATGACTACAACTTTTGATTTTTGAATAACACCCTCTGTATTTTTTTACACTCTGAATAGAATGACATATCATATGTCAACTTTTGACATTTTCACTTAAAATAATTTTGTTTTAAATTTCAATCTAGGCTGTTTTTCAATATCAGGCATCATGGCTGTGTTAAAAACAAGAATTTTTATTCTAGGAGCTTTGAAAATATAGTCGGATCGTTAAATGTTTTTCGTGTCTTGTCCTCACCGGGTAAAAGATGCCCAAATCGTATTTTTAATCATATCCCAATTTTTTCAGATAGAACAATAAAAAAAATAAACAATAATAAAATAGAACAATAAAATTTCAAGTAAACAATATGCAAAAATGTCAAAAGTTGACATTTTCGCATATGGTTTTGCAATTTTTTCAAATGGAACAAGGGTGGCTCATTAGCATATTTGAAAAAGCATTTTTTTATAAATAATTTGCTACCACACACTTGGTATTAGTCAAATTGTCTCCATAAACCGCATGTTAACAATTTCAAATAAACCATATGCGAAAATGTCAAAAGTTGACAGATGATATATGTTGATATTCTATTCAGAGTGTCATTTTCTATCGAGTAAAGTAGAAATATACCGAAGGTGTCATTTAAAAATCAAAAGTTGTAGTAATTTTCGGTGTAATAGGAAGTGACCAAACACAATTGAATTCGTCAATAGATCCTAATTTATGTCATATATATACTAGAATACCATAATATCTCGTTTTTTTATTTAAAAAAATAAAAAAAGTTATAGGGGTGAGCCATTTTTGAGACGCACCCGGTATAAACTTTTGAAAAATTTTTACTCAATATAAAAATAAATTACAACCTTAAAGCCAACTGGCAGTAAGCACCATTACAATATAAAGAAGAGTACGGGTCAAGTAATCACGTAAAGGGCTATACCGCGCCAAAATTATTATCGATTTTTGTTCCATAGCCGTCTATGACACCGTTTTTTTATCGATCGTATAATACTTTAATTATCAGTCCAGCTACATATATTCAATCATATGTAAAAGAAGCCATAATCACAAACCTATTTAACACAGCAAAGAACATCGAAATTCCGAAGAATCTTTGTCACAGAAATCACGAATATAAAAAATAACGACTACAAAAATGGGCATTTCATAGATTTCATTGAAGTAACTTTCAAAGAAAATTTAAAACCAGAAAACAAAAAAAAATGTACGCAGATTACATTATGATCGAAAAAAAACGGCATCAGCGATGACTGTCAAATGATAACATGACTACATGGGGGCATATCTATTATGCCCCCCTTCCTTGAGTCATCACACAGTCTATAACCCATCATACCCCTGTTGTAGAGGGGACAGGGTATTTCTCATCCTCCTCTGACAACAGTTTCTTCCTCCGAGGGTGCACACCCTTCCACGGTTGGAGTTTGGCCCTCCGTGCCGCCCTTTACAGTCGAGGAGCTTGCCTCGGGCTGAGGAACACGTGAGGTGAAGGCTGGAGGATCTGTCTCCATTTTCTCCACCTCTTTAACTTGGTCTCTCCTTAGACTTGATACCGGTGTTGTCCCGTATCTATAATAGAGGATAAGTCCCTCTTTCTCTATTGCCTCCTTGGATTTGAGGTTAGTTCCTATTGTGAGGACCTGACCATGACCCTCCTCCCTCGAGTTGATGACTCGCCAACTCGATGTCCTTACATTGAAGTTCTGACCCTGGATAAGGCTCAGCAGGTAGGTGGTGTCTTTCCTCTTGTTCCTCGGCAGAAAGACCGTGATGACCGCCCCTTTAGAGATGTTTTATCCCTTCACTGCAACCAGTTCCGGCCTCTGCCAATTTTTAAGCTTAGGTGCGATTTCCACCAACCAATTCGCCGATTCGTAAGATACACAATCTATGAGGATCATGCCCACCCGAAAGTGTAACCCCGCAAAACGCAGCTGACCCACATTTTGTTGATCGTTGTGTCGTTCAAGCATTGTGTTACAGGCATCAATCCTGTTTGTTCATTACTGTCATTATAATTCTGTCTACGCCGAAACAGGCGCTTATCTATCCTTCCTATGCGCCTGTTCTTGTATCGTCCTGCGGCCCAGGATTCCGCCCAGGTTGCTACCAGAAACTTTCAGTCGGCGTGTTCATTTCCCGCCACGCGCTCTCACCAGTCGATAGCAGGATATCGCTCTGGCAGGACAAACACCTGTAGAAAATAAACAGAAACGCGCGAAATATTCTCCAAAGTTGTTAGTGATTATGTTTGACTGTTATTGTTTGTTATTTTAATAAAACTGTTGTTATGTAGTCAAACGATTTTTATGAGGAGATTTTGATTAAAATTGTAAGTAAATTTTTACTTTTATACTTTTTTTTCTAAATTTGTACTTAAAGTTATAAATGCAATTTTTATTATATTTTTTAACAGGTGAAAACAGTAATGTTTTAAATAATCAGATAAATATATTAAAAATGTGCCATTTTTGATGAATTTAAATCAATGCTCTTTTTTAGTGATTTTTAAAATTAATTTGATGATTCTGTATTGATGTACTAAAAGGTCACTTCGTATTGTGTTTTGTGTTATATGTATGAAATTTTCTTGTTAAATTCCATATTTAACAAAAAGTTCTAATTTTTTCGTTTGGTTGCACTTCTGCTTTTAAGGGTTCTTTTCTATAAAACATATTCTAAATTATATTTGCTATATTAATTTATTTTAAATGACTACTTTTGTAATAATACTATTTATTATCATAATATTATTAAACCGGTTTATACGGGGTGCGTCTCAAAAGTGGCTCACCCCTATAACTTTTTTATTTTTTTAGATAAAAAAAAACGAGATTTAGTATGTTAGTATATGACATAAATTAGGATTGATTGACGTATTCAATTGTTTTCGGTTACTTCCTGTTTCACTGGAAGTGACTACAACCTTTGATTTTTAAATAACACCCTCGGTATTTTTTTACTTTATTCGATAGAAAATGGCACTCTAAATAGAATAACGTATGTATCACATGTCAATTTTTGACATTTGCGCCTATGGTTTATTTGAAATTATAACATGCGGTTCATAACGAAAATTTGACTCAAATACCTATCAAATTAGTCGTAAAAAAATTCTCTTTTCAAATACACTAATGAGCCACCCTTGTTCCATTTGAAAAAATTGAAATATGATTAGAAATACGATTTGGGTATCTTTTAAACGGCATACAAATAAATAAAATGACAAAACACTAAAAACATTAGACTATCAAATCTATTTTTCCAAGGCTCTTTGGTTAAAAATTACTGTGTTTAACATAGCCATGGCACTCTAGATTGAAATTTAAAATACGATTTTTTATTAAGCGAAAACGTCAAAAGTTGACATATGATATGTCATTCTATTCAGAATATCATTTTCTATCGAATATAGTTAAAAAAAAAACCGAGGGTGCCATTTAAAAATCAAAAGTTGTAGTCATTTCCGGTGAAACAGGAAGTGACCAAAAACCATTGAATACGTCAATCAATTCTAATTTATGTCATATACTAATATACCAAATGTCGTTTTTTTATCTGAAAAAATAAAAAAGTTATGTGAGCCACTTTTGAGATCCACCCGGTATACAGGATGGTGCAACCAAAATATTGTGAGCGATTGCAACTAAATAATTACGAACTTCTCGCGCTCTAAAAAACTTTTTTAACTACGATTTATCGTGAAGGTGAAGCTGTTTAATTATGATTTATTAAACAGAAAATTAATGTATTAAGTTTTCGATTATATTAAATTATTGATTAAATCGTAAAGTTTGATAAAGAACTACCATAATTTTTGTCATAACATACAGGATGCTCCATTTTAAATGGTGGGGAAAAATATAACATCTAGTTTTGACGTATCCTGTATATATTATGCCATTTTCTAACACGGGCGCGAATTTCCCTAACCATGATTATAAACACTATAAGTAAATTATTATTAGAAGACTATTGTTCATAAATAATTTGTTCTCTTTAGGTCTGTTTAACAGCATTGTGTTAAATAGACCAATCCTGTCTGTTCATTACTGTCATTAGTCTTGTCTACACTGTACACAGACGCTTATCTATCCTTCCTGTGCGCCTGTTCTTGTATCGTCCTGCGGCCCAGGATTTCGCCCAGGTTCCCACCAGAAACTTTCAGTCGGCGTGTTCATTTACCGCCACGCGCTCTCACCAGTCGATAGCAGGATATCGCGGTGGCAGGACAAACACCTGTAGAAAATAAACAGAAACGCGCGAAAGAGTTTTAAAGTACCCTAAAATTGGTAGTGATTATTTTTGACTGTTTTTGTTTGTTATTTTAATAAAACTTTTACATATATGTAGTCAAGAGACAGTATTATATTTTTATGAAGAGTTTTTAATTAAAATTGTAAGTAAATTTTCATTATTAAACTTATCCGTTAATATGTTTTTTTTTTAATTTTTACTTTCAAATTATTTATTATAAATAAAATTTAGTTATTTTTTTAATGGGTGAAAAAATAATGTCTTTAATAGTTATAGTTAAAAAATATTCAAAAAATCTGCTATTTTCGGAGCTATTTCGGAGGCTATTTTGACATGAGAAATTTGGTTTTGATGTCAGACTCCTATTTGCAGGAGGCGCCACCTAAATATGTTTTAACTGTTATGAAGAGTAATAACTTTTCTTTCGTACCTGTATAAAACTACTGATTGAAAATATACATTTCCGTTATTTTTGACCTAAAAAATGTTTCTTGGTAAAAATCCCTGCGAGCAGCCGTTCGCAAGATATTTAGAATGGAAATAGTCAATACATGTCATGATTCAAAATAAAACACTAAATCACTAAAATATACCAAAATACTTTTATTTTTACACTGGACGCGCGTTTAGCTAATCATGTTAGCATCATCAGCAGATGATGATAACTCCAAATATTGCTATTACTTCATAAATTATTTGGAAGAACATATCGAAATATAAATGAAACTTCAACACCCTGTATCTCCGAAACTAAGCATTTTAGGACATATGTACATTTATACGAACTTTTTTACTTATTTTTATCTACAGAAAAAGCCAAATACAGTTCGAACCACCCTGTATATACATATAAAAAACATTTTAAATAATATTTTAATTATTTTTGTATACAAATCTAATATTTTATTAAAATAATATTATACATATAATTATTGTAAGAATAAAATTTTATAAATATATTTATAGCGAATATATATTAGCAAATATTCTTCCATAGCTGTCCTTCACTTGTCTGGAATTTCCAAGAACTTGTAAGGATACTTGTAAGGAAACTCTAATAAGAAGGCAGTTTTTGATAAGTACATGGATAGCCGTCATAGATGTTGACTAAATGAGACTAAGACGGTACGGCATCGGCAACGGGACTGAGTTGTAACTGACATGTGTGAATACACCTTTAAATTAATGCAGGCAAACCCTCTATTGCGAAACAAAAGAACTTAACTGACGATACGATCCAATTAGCAAAGACAATTCCGGACAATTCTAAACATCTCTCTCGCTATTACGTAGTTTTACGAGTTCAAAGGCGGAACACATCAAAAAAACATTAAAAAACGATTTTACTTTCACCAAAATTGTCGGTTTTCTTGTAATAAATCGCGTTTGCGAAGTCGTAAATTACCCTTTACTCGAGGAGAACATTATCTTTAGAATACTACATTGAAGCAGGTACATTTCGTAGTTATATATACAGGGTGTCCCAAAATAGCACCATCCCTTATGAAGGGTAAAGTAAAAAGCAACGATGTCTATTTTATAGGAATTTTTAAGTAGGTAATCAACTTAATCTGTTGAGAATACTAAGTCCCAAGCACAGTCTAAATTGTAATTGAATATAACAAACGATATCCAAATAAAAATAATGTAACGTACTACAATACACGTAGAAATAATAATATAACGAATTATGAGTAAATGCAAGACCAAGACCAAGACTCGCTTGGTCTTGATCTTGGTCTTCCTGCAAGACTCTTACAAGTATTACACTATTTTAATGGATTTTGACTAACTTCTTTTGACTTTCTACATAGAAAATATTTAAATAAATAGTATTTTAAGTAGGTAATTTAATGTTATTGAAATTTTTTGAAGAAACAATTTTTGACGGATGAAAATGTTTATTTTTTAATATACAGGGTTATCAGAACTGTAATAGAAACACTTCGGTAATATTTCAGCAGATGAAAATAAGTAAAAACGTTCGTATAAATGTCTTCAAATGCTTCATTTCGGAAATAGGGGGTGTTGAAGGTTCATTTTTATTTCGATTTTTTTCAAATAATTTCTGAACTAACGTCGACATTTCGATGAAAATTCATGTTTGGTTATTTCTTGACATGATAAATTCGATTTCGATGTTAGTATGGCGCACCTACTTGTATAGGATATGCATAGTTTTAGAGTTACAGGATGTTAAAGCTTTTTAAAATTAGGTTTTTTGTTAATGAAGGGGTGGCTGCAATAACCAAGCAGCTCCATTTAATAAATTTGTGGAAAATCGAAAAAGAGCTGCTCGGTTCTTGCTGCAAACCCAGAACAAGGCAGTTCCAACTAACGTCGCCATTTATGTACTGTTATATTAAGAGAACTGAGTGTCGCAGGAAGCTATCAGCCAATTTTTTAAAGGGTATTTTAATTAAAATCTCATTTTCGAAAAAAGTGGAGCTGCCATAATAAGAATATGGTATGGAAATACCATATTTTTTTTATTTGAAATTGTTGTAGGTTGGACTAATAGTAATAATAACTAATAGTAATAATATATAATTTAATAATTTCATTTTAACTTTAATTTTATTAATCGTGATTAATAAAATTGCTAAGTTTATATCACTAAGGAGGCCGAGTTCGACAAAATTTCAAGAGATTTACGACTTTTAATGGGCATTAAAGGGCCTACACAATTTTGATATCAAGAGAAAAAATTGACGCCGGGAGGCACGTATAGCCGCCCATACTAAAACATGTTAATAAAAAGTTGGTAGGAAGTTCTTTTAGTTTCAAAGTAAAGGAATTTTTCCAATTTTGGTCCGCGGTTATTTCCCCTATCCGCCACCTGGAGTCGCGTCCGATGAGAATTTGGAGTTCTCCACACGGATTTTCTCAAAAACGGACTTCGGAAACACGGAATATCTCAAAAACTGCGACTTTGATTTTGATGTTATTACAAATTTTGTTGCAAATATTATTCCTAATCTTAAATTGAAAACCGCGTTTCGCTAGCTACTGTAATTTTGGAGTTACGAGTTTTTAAAATTTTTAACCCCTTCCATACCCCCTTACCAACCCCCCACCCCCACCAAAAACTAATAGCCAGATTTTCGGGTGCCACAGTATTTTTGTGCCAAATTTGGTTAAAATCGGTTTAGCGGTTTTATCGTGTTACAGACGGACAGACGGACACACGGACAGACAGACAGACACCATGAAAATATTTTGTATTTAGGTCATTTATGACCCAAATAGCTCACTTTGAGTGAAATTAAAAAAAAAATTTGCCGATCTTAATAGCCTACCATACCTGTTGGTATGGTTGGCTAAAATGTCAGTGACACATGTTTTTTTTTTTAAATATTCCATTGATAATACATATGCACGTTCCTGATAAATTTATCGACACTTTTTTAGCACTAAAATATGTAGCACTTATATTAACTTTTACCCTCAAAATTTAATTCGATCACTAAAAGTACTTCGAAGAAAATTACAATAAATCGAAAAATTATTAAGACCCAATATCTACGAAACAAAGCAGAATCGGACCTATAGGTATGTTGATATGAAAAATAAATCTTATTTTTACGTGAGGAATAATTATAATATAATATATTAATATTTTTATCATATCTACAAGGATGATTCCAAAATACTTTTGCACCAAACCCACTAACTTTTTACTTCTAATGCTATACACGGCCTATACCAGAAACCTGTACTCAAGAATTAACTAGAGATTTTAATAATTAATTTAAAAAATCATTAGGGTTACGCCACTGATACATAAAAAAATAATTATTCCGCATTAATTGTTACGTGAAAAAGCGCGAAAACAAGCAGTTTAACGTATTTTAATTCTTGTTATTATAAACCAGCGCTTTAAATTAAATAATAGCTAAAATTAGAAAGAGCACCATAAAAAAATAGTTATTTTCAGCTTGAAGCCTGGAAAGGCTCCTTTCACTTTATTCTCATATATAAATTTGAGAGATTTACTTTACAACAAACGACTAGCAAACGACAAATACTTTTGTTTATTTTTATATCTTCTATAGGTAGATAAATTTCAGTAACATTATAGTATGATCAATTCATAGCGTCTCCATCCTTTTTCTATGCTAAAATCTCAATTTAGATATACAGAGTGATCCCGGAACTGTATTCCGCAAACTTCGGCAGCATATTCTTCAGATAAAAATAACTAAAAAAGTATAATTGTATGTCCGAAAATGCTTAGTTTCGGAGATACAGGGTGTATAAGTTTTATTTTTATTTCCAAATAATTTGTGAAGTAGCGTCAATATTTGGATGAATATTGGTATCTGGGAGTTTTTTGACATGAGAAATTTGATTTTGATGTCAATATGGCTCCTATTTCTAAGGAGTGGCACCTACATGTGTTTTAACTGTTTTCAAAAGTAATAACTTTTCGCCCATACCTGTATAAAACTACTGAGTGAAAAAATAACATTTCCGTGCTTTTTTACGTAAAAAATGTTTCTTGGTAAAAATGGCTACGAGCAACCGTTCTCGAGATATTTAAAATGGAAATAGTCAATACATGTCATTATTGACAAAAAATAAATACCGTATGATCGAATAAAAACGGCGTCCAGTTGGCTTGGAAATGACGATCGATGACATTTCCCATATAAATTTACATATAAAATGACAGCGATCTTCATTTCATAGCCATCGCTGACGCCGTTTTTATTCGATCATACGGTATGTTCAGTAGATAGTTATTTGACTGAAATAATAAATTTGGGAACTTTTTATTTTTTTAAATTAATCATAAATTTTTCTTCGAAAAAATGATGATAAAACAGTTTCTGTTGAATTTTTGGCAAAAAAACATTTCAAGTTTATGATTTCGGGCTAATAACTATTTAATCAACATGTTTAATTTATGTCAATTAAACACAGTCACAGGTATTGATAATTTCGATTCCAAATATCTCGTGAACCACTACTTGTAGCGATCTTCACCATTTTTTAAAAAACGTCGTAAATGTATATTTTTTTACTCAGCAGTTTTATACATATTTGGACGAAAAGTTATTAATTTTCAAACCAGTTAAAAATATGTAGGTGGCGCCCTCTACAAGTAGGAGTCATATAGACTTCAAAATCAAATTTCTC